ATATTTTTATTAGGTGTGTCTTGATGAGAAGAGTGGATGGCCCAAATATATAAAATTTCATGTTATTTGGATTTATATAAAAAGTATTAAAAATTATATTACGACATACAGTTGTGACCGTCAGATTGACCTAAATTCAATCAAGGCCGTTGGGCTTACACTATTCCATTAGCTGGTGGGTCTAGAATTTAGTACTCCAAAATTTTTGGCATCAAATGGCCTTAGAAATATAATAAAGTATTTTAACAATGACTTACTTGAAAATTTCGAAAAGAGCATTTTTGTAATTTTAACTTACCTTTAAACTCCAATCATCATTAAAAAGGTCAAAAGAATCTTTTTGATTTGAAATTGAGTTTTAGAGGGATTTTAAAAAGACCAAAATACCCTTTTTAAATTACATGAAATATTTATGGTAAAAAGTCATTTTTGATCATTTAAGGGTATTTTATGGTAAAAAATTTCAGAGTATTGTAGTTTAGGTTTGCCATTAGTGTGGCGTATTCTAGAATAACCATATATATATATATATGAGAAAGCTAAGGTCAGCCCATCAGCTAATGGAACAGTATAAGCCCAACAGCCCAGATCGAATCTGGGTTGACCTGACGGTCATGACCTCATTTTGTAATAAAATTTTAATACTTTTTCTACAAATCCAAATCACATAAAATTTTAAGCATCTATTCTTCTCATCAAGGCGAACTTAATAAAAATATTGAAACAATAATTCACAAAAATTAAACTGACCAAAATACCCATGAAACGTTTCAGGGGTATTTTGGTCCATTTATTTTTTTTGAATTATTTTTTGTTATGCTTATTAGATTCTCCTATTTTTAGAGAATAAAAGTTTCAAATTTCAAGTGATTTAGATTTGTAGAAAAAAGCTAAAATTCACATACAAAATACAATCATGATGGTCAGTTCAGCCCAGATTCAATTTAGGCTTTTGGGTTTACACTGTTCCATCAGCTGGTGGGCTGACCTTAGCTTTTCCATATATCTATATATATATATATATATATATATATATATATATATAATATATAGGTATACCTTTACTACACTACATACCACTACTACCAACGGTTACAACACGTATACCACGTTA